GGGTTTTTGTTTGTATTTTTGTTTTGCTTTTTTCAGCGAACGCAATGCAACGACTTGTGAATCTTGCGTTTCCGGCGGCCATCTCTTGCTTTCGTTGCCTGTTTCATATCACGGGATTTGTCAAAACAATTGTTAGGTTTTTTTAAGCTGCAGTATAAAAGATGCAGCAAGACTGATTCATCTTCGGTCCCGAAAAACAAAAAAAACTACGCAATCCGCGGTAAAAAAAAAGTCACGGTTTAACGTCAGCAAACTGGAAGGAAGGGGGAAACCATTATAGAAACTAATCGTAACATTTATGATTCGCTTGCTATCCTTTCCATAAACCTCCAATGTGTCAGTTTAGTTTTATTGCTTTCTGAGAATGACAAGTTCTCTAACCATTAAATAGAAGGAATAAATGAAGCGTGTTAGGGTAGTCAGTAAAAGACAAAGAAAAAAAAATAAAGCTCACAAGGCAACAACAAACTTGCACACACGTATCTTTCAACTAGCTAAAACAGATTTATTGATGTGGACCGCAATAGACCGATCTCATTCAACGCTCGGCGCGTGGGTGACACAACCATAACTTTAGTCCACAGGAGGCAAACACTAGTGCACGAGAGGGCTCGTGCCGGCTCGTGCTCTATATTTACACCCAGAGCTCCATCGAGGGTGTCGCTCGTGCTGAAAGACTAAAGTTCTCTCGATGCATTGCGGCAGCGGTGGCGTAGTCAAAGTGGCTGGTGAGATCGGTCTATTGAGAGGTATGTGCAATTTAGGTGACCACCAAGATATCTTTCGTGTCTAGTTGAAAGATCGGCGTTTGTCAATCTGCTGTTTTCCTCTGCGTTTTTTTTTTCTCCTCATATTTCACTACCATTAGACAGCGCTCATTTCAAACACCCTGCCGCCATCTCTCGTCCTAAGGTGCAGCAGCCGCGTCTCGGGTCCTAATGGTCCCGTTATCTTACTTGCCTCGCACTTACCAGAAAACGGCGTCTTCATTAAGTGCCGTCGTGCTCGCGCATCTTAGCTCGACACGTCAGTTCTGCTTCTGCATCGCGTCTTTTCCAGACAACGACGTACGGAAAGGAAAAAAGAAAAAAAACTCGCTTAGCGAAAAGGGCCACAAGAAGAGGGCATTCGTCAAGAGAGTTAGAACGCGGGGCGAGAAAGTCGGCGCGACGTCGGCAGAAAACGCCGTCGCGAGTCCCGGAAAGGCCCCGCAGCGGAAACCTTAATGTTCCCGACGATCATCAGTCGCGCGAGGCGGATGAGCGTATGCACGAGCGACCCTCCTGATACCGGCCATTATTCATGCATGTTAGGAAGTCGTACACCCCACCCAACCTCGGTTCCGTTCATGCCCTCAAGCGTGATTTGAGTTTGCGCGTCTGTTTGTTTGTTTAAGTGTGCGTGTGTTTGCGTGAGTGTCTTCACGGGTGTGTATGAGTTTGCGGGTATTTGTGTGTACGTGCATGTGTGTGTGTGTATGTGGGTCTGTATACGTGTGTGTATGAGAGTCCGTGTGCGTGCCTGCTTGTTCGTATGTGTTTATGTATGTTTTTTTGCGTGTGTGAATTTGTGTGTGCATGTCTGTGTGTTTTTGTATTTGGGTGCATGCGCACGTCTCCGTGTATATTAGCGTTTGCGTGTGGTGCTCGTGCAGACTTTCTGTGTGTGAGTTTGTATTTGAGTAATAGTGATATAGTTTTGCAGGGTGACGACGCGCATGTCGCTAGGGCGTCTCGTTTCGACTTTCGTGCTAAAAACTGTCCAAATTAAAAACAGAAAGCGGAAAGCGTGCACTTTCTTCCGTTTTTCTGTTTGGACACAATTTTTGTCGGAACAAGACGGAGACGTCGTGGAGAGAGGTCGCGGCTGACGTCGACTCAGTCGTTAGAAAGATGTCGCTCATGGCCGACCAACGAGAATGCCTCTGTCCACCTGCTCCTCCGCGTAGAACTCTTCTCTCGGCCCCTTTCTTCCTTAGTCGGGTCCGAAGTCCCTATTGGCTGCTTCGCGCCTGCTTTGATTGCATTCCTCCTGCTCCTGCAGCACTCGTCCAGATGGGAATCGCTGCGGTTACCGATGCTGACAAGTCTTGTAAGATACACTTATGCGGCTCGTGAAGGTTAGTTATACGGCCAGGGGGACGTTATGTGGCTGGCTAATCTTTGCGATAAGTCGGCTAGTTAATAAAAATTCACTAATTAACTTTTTAATTCGTCAAAACAGACATAAGGTTTCAATTAGAAATTTAAATTACTAAATCAACTCTTTTTATAACGACTTGAAGCTCAGGGGTCAATTGGGGGCGCAGTAAAGTTACCACTCGTACACCGGACGCAAAGCTCGCAGTGGCGGAACGCGATGATAATCTAATCATACGCGTTCCGCAACCACTATCCTTGTACTTGGTACACGAGTGGTAACTTTAGTGCACTACTAAGCCTCTCACGCGCTCAAAGTCTTCCTGAAAATTGCTAACTTAGTGGTTTTCGATGACGCTCAGCAAGTTTCTAATAGGAACCATATGTCTATTTTGATTAAATAAGAAGTTAAGTGACGACTTTTAATTAATTGACCGACTGATCGTTACAATTAGTTTATATACTATGCCCCTCGGGCCGTATAACTTACCTGCACAATACGCATAAGTGCAACTTTCGCGGCTTTTTGTCTTTTTTTAAATCTATAAAGCTAGAAAAAGAACACTATATATATGGAGAGAAATTACCAAACTACATACAATTTTAATTAGTAATATAGTGTTGCAGCAAATTAATTAACAGTTCTGAAATTCAAAAATTATAAAAGAAACATGCTTTCTTACGTTGAATATAAGGTAAATTCACTCCTGCCTAAAATCTTTCAAGAAATAATTTTACCCAAGGCTATGGCAGTCATTAGATTTAAAAAAAAAACAAAAAAAACAGGAACGTAATTTGTGTCAGAGCCCAAATTCATCAAATAATGTTGCATCCGCATGCTTTTCTTTGAACTCAACTGCCGTCTCGACTAATGAGATATTGACCCAACTCACTCAAAACAGGAAACCATATCCTGCATAGTCTAAAGTTGAGTAAAACAAATACCTTATTCTATCCATAATTTAATATATATATATATATATATATATATATATATATATATATATATATATATATATAATATTTCTCAATTTTAATTAACTAAAAATCCTTGAATCATAGAAGCACGTAAGACCTGATCTGTTGAGTTCTTCAGCTTGATGTGAGGCGGGCCCATTATCAGCACGCCCTTGGAGAGTCCTTTCTATGTCAGAAATTTTTAGATGTTTGATGCATTATCAACTATCGTAATTTTATGTTAAAACTGAACTGGTAAATAATTTTTAAAACTTGTTTAACAAATTGTGTAGTGAGTCTCAAATGGATCCTTGCGCTGTAAAGCCAGTCGGGAAAATCGGGGCATGCGCGTAAAATGCTTCAACTTTTACCAAACGTGCATTTAGGACTGAATTTTACCTGGTTGAATTCTAATGCGTTCTTCCCTTCCTGTAGACAACTAGAAGAACAAACTTTCCAGGATAAACGGCAGACGACTAAGTTAGCGATGGTTGTAGCTTGTGGCGCCATCTCTTCATGAACACAGCAAACTGACGACAGAGTGCGTCGCCTGCTTGTTGCGTGCACTGTAAACTCTGTAACAGATAATGCGCCGGGAAAAAAACGAACACTAGTTTTATACATTATAATTATCGGACCTTGGGTGTAGCGAGTATTTAGCCAAAGGTGAGATTATTTTACGGTTTCTTACAGCTGGCTGTGGCCTTGACTGAGGGTCGACGAAGACGCAAAACAATCAATTTAACTCCAGATTAAGGTTAACATGTATTCTGCCTATACCGTCCATCAACGAATAACAAAAAACAAAAGCCAAACAAATATATGAAAAAACGCAAAAATTTTAACGAGGCAGAGTGAACAGCTTTTGAAAACATATATGGTTGCGTTTATAGAGGCGGACAAGAGGGAAGAACCAGACACATCAACGCGCTCACTCCAACTACTTCATCCTCAGAAATAGACGGGCATATATGCTCTCCGCTATCGCGCCACTCAACCAATCCTTTACCCCGCTGCTGCTCACAAGAACCCCGTCTGTTTATCTGTCAGATCGATTTAGGCCACGCTGACGCATTCGTCACCTTAACTTTTGGTTATGTTTGCCTATTTCCATATTATATTTATGCCTGCTAATAATCGTGCATATGGTCAACAAAATTTTTCATCCGCAGTCATCACAATACATCGACAAGCGACCACCTCGATGGCTGCTCACTTCTTGGTTGTGTTCGCGTAATCTTTCGGGAACATATATTTTTGTCTGGTCTGCATATTTTCTGCCACACGTCAAGAGGAAGACCGTGTTTTCGAAGATTCAACCCCGACGCGTTCAATATTCAGCATTAAGAAACACGTAGCGTGGCTTATCATGACTGCGCATATTTTTTCCAGACCTCTTCTTCCACGCTTCTACAGGCTAATTTCCGCAAAATTGTTCGTTGGCGAATGATAATTAGCTGCTCAGGGCTCACCACTTCCCGCATTTCTTAATCTGCCAGTCACTCTGGAGAGACGAGAAGATTTCTGCTGTATAAAATGTACAAATAAAATATTGCGCTATCGTACGCAGGCCGATGAGTTCTAGGTTGACCGACAGGAATAAAAGAAAAAAAATATCAATACGCTTTTGGGTCGAACGTTTCAGACTCATCGATTTCACTACTTGCCTTGTAGGGAAATCCGATGAAAGCGTTTGCATGTTGTTATGAGGGGCGGACTAAGCAGAACTGCCGGTAATTACGTGAATTGACCGCTTCGCAATTTGTTGATACAGCAGGCTCTTTTTACGGCAGACTGCATAGTGGGGCTCTAATTGAAGCTCCGCGTTGACCAAAATCATTTGGGACTCGGTTGTGTCGTTTTGCTTCTACAGCTGACGCTATTGCTGGTCTCATCTCGTTTCAGCAAATCGTTGGAAGGTCGCCCCTGGAAAGCCAGACCTGTTCGATGTCCGAATGAGGCCTTGGTGAGTTCGATTAGTTGAAATATCGAAGTTCGCAATTGGCGAAACCACAGCTGACTGCATTATGATAATGCCTGCTCAGTCGCCGGTTCGCCTCGAGGCAAATCCTGCCAATCACGGCGAGGCGAATCCCGTTCGTGACGTCACGAAAAAAAACAGTAAGAGGGCGCCACTGAAACATCTCGAAGATAATTGCGTCGAAGCGATTATGAATGATTTAAGCATGTTTGAGCGGCTTGGTACGAAATATTAGTTTATTGGTCACACTAGCACTAGCCGCCATACCCAGTATATGTAGCGAATTTTTGTATCGACACTTTCATTTTAGTTGGCAAAATAGATGACATACTAATACTTGGTTTCTTATTTTGCCTTGAGTAAGCTTTTACGCGCCAAGCTATCTAGGGGATTTGAACTTATTTTCGAGTAATGCTAAGAAGTTGGTTACTTTATCTCCCACCCGATATGTTGGACGGCAAACCCAAGCGCAATGAGAACAGGCGCAGGACTACAGTTTCCAACAACCGTCGCTCGAGGGCCATTTTTACTGCGCGTATGTGCCTGCCCTTTTATGCTGCACTCCAGTAAATCACGCCGCTTTTTTTGCTCTGTTTTTCTTCCAGGTTTATTGACGGCTCAAGTTCGCCCAAAGACGTCATTCTAGTAATGGACACGTGAGTTCCCTTTACGGCGATAACCGTTACTGACAAGGTTTCGTGGCGGATCCCAGGGTTTGGCCGCGTGTTTATCGTGGCCCCCTAAATTTAGCGAAGACATTCCTCCGCTAAACGTAGCGGAGAATTACAATGTCACGTGACACTGTGATATCATGATGTTACGTGAGGTTACAAGTTTTCCCTTTAAATTGCGTCGGAAGTTTGTGCCACGCGACGTTATTGTGCTACGTGAGGTCACGGTGTCACGCGATATCAGGATGTCATATGACGTCGTGAAGTCACGTGATGTCACAATGTCACGTGACTTCATAGTGACAACTCAACGCCGTCCACTAGCGGGACACAAACCCGCTAAGTTTAAACGCGGCAATGTAACTAAGTGCCGCAAATCCTTTTCAGAACAAGCAAAGTATAGTTTTTTTTTGTTTTTTTTTAAGAAATGTGAGTCGATAATAATCTAACCTTTCTGCTGATGATGCGAAATTGGAATAATTTATGCCATAAGGATGCTGTCTGATTTTATGCTACGTTTGACTTACTTACTTATAGGCACGCATACTGATGTGTTTATGGCCCTTGTCAACTAGTCCAACTGTGACGAAAAGGTCTTTGTTGCCTATTTACGATTGATCTTGGTATTGAGTCTACGTCAGGGCAAGAAACTATGCATTATTGCCTTCCATTCCAGGAACAGTTTTATTGTTATTTCTGGTATTGTTTTGCATTTTATTTATTAAATTACTATAGTTCGGTCTTCATGCCTCAAAATGTACAAATAATCTCATGATGTAACTTTCCTTCTTGAAGTGTGTTTTTGTTTCCTCCGACTACTGCAGAAGCGGCAGCATGCACGGCCCCTCCATGGAGATCATGAAGCTTTCCGTCAAGTCCCTCCTGAAGACGTTTGAAGAAAACGATTTCATCAACGTGGCTTGCGTGAGAGCTCGGTTTTGGTTTCGTGTTAGCCGAAATTGTACACTAAGTAAGCCCGGTGCTTCGACATATCAATTCATATGCCTCCCCCATAACGATTTTTCGGCACCAGTTTATGTCTTTTTTTCTCCCTTATTTTTGTAACTTTAGCTCAGCATATTCTATCGTCACACCGGAGACCAGTAGTTAACGTTCGTTGACTCGGTACCCTTGTGTGATGCTGACAAAAAGGCAGGCGCATTATCTCCGAAAACACTGCATTATAATGAAGCTGGCGACACTGCGGAACATCTCTTATAATAATTACGAACTTTTGCTTGGAAGTGAACATTATGTTATGGACTTGCCACTTCGACTGTGGGTTTTGAGTACGCCACCGAGTAGTATCTTCAGCTTTACGAGAAGAGGTCGTAATTTTATAAAGGGCCTTTCGTCCCCCCCCCCCTCCTTACATTATCTTCTTTTCAAAAATTACCAGTACATAGTGACAGTTGCGCACACAGGGACAAGGACAGAGAAGAGGAACACGTAGACGACAGACAAGCGCACACTCACAACTCATGTATTAACGAAAGAAGAAAAGAAAGTGGTACAGAACGCGGAATCCGCTCGAGCGTTGGCCACACAGGCACGAGGGACCAGAGGCCCGAGGGCTCGAGGGGTACTCTTAAAATTACCCACACGAAAATGATTTTAAAAAGGCAATTTCCTCCTCTGTTAATGACACAGACGGAAAGCTGACATATCGCTCGCCCATGCTTAGAATAATGAAAGCTTCAAAAATCTCTCTGGTGTGTTTTTCCCGGTACCTGCCTATTATCTTGGTGTCCGCTAAGGATGGCGTACAATTACACGATTTACAGTGAAGGGGTAGATGGCCCCCCACTGTAGACTTTAGAGAGAGATTGTGCTCTCGTAGCCGGTCGTTCACACACCGTCCGGTCTGTCCAACGTAGCTTTTACCACATGAAAGAGGGATACTATATACTACACTCAGGGAGCAGGGCACATAAAAGTGGGAGTGGTTCTTGTGGCACGTATGTGTTTTAAAATTGTTTACCTTAGCATGAACTTTTTGACAAATTTGAGCCATTTTTTGGGGGGCTGACATCACTAAAGGGACCCCGTAACGGCTAGCCACCTTTTTAAGATTGTGGGAAATTTTATGCATATACGGGACGACCACAATTCTTTTTTTGTCAAAAGCGGGCTTAGGTTTTTGAACTCCCTTCACTCTCTTGACCAGAGTTCCCACTACCTCAGTCAGCACCTGCATAGGAAAGCCCGAGGATGTCAGCCTCTCAATTTGTGCTTCAAAACTACATTGGAGGGTATGATAACAAGACTTATTTAAGGCGCTTGTAAGGCATGACATAGCTATACCCCTTTTAACGACTTTGGAGTGAGAGGACGTGTAGTTTAGGATGCCTTTCTTGGAACGAGGGGAAAAGGTCCAGCACAGGTGATTGGGTAGCAGAGAAAGCGAAAGGTCTAGAAATTGCAAAATTCCTTCCTTTGGCGTTTCACAGGTAAAGACAAGTCCCAAACCACATTTGTGGAAAATGTCCATTGTCTTACAGACAACATCATTATCGACCGTTTTTTTGTACACCAGCAAGAAGTCGTCGACATATCTAAACACTTTTGTGACTGTCGTGGAATCAATGGAAGACTCAATAGCACGGTCAACACCCGAAAGAAAAATATCGCTTAAAACCGGTGCTACACATGAGCCAATGCACACACCCGACTTTTGTAAATAAACCCCATTTTGCCACTGTATGAACTGTATGAAAGTGGAACTATCTTAGTTCCACTTTCATACAGTGGCAAAATGGGGTTTATTTACAAAAGTCGGGTGTGTGCATTGGCTCATGTGTAGCACCGGTTTTAAGCGATATTTTTCTTTCGGGTGTTGACCGTGCTATTGAGTCTTCCATTGATTCCACGACAGTCACAAAAGTGTTTAGATATGTCGACGACTTCTTGCTGGTGTACAAAAAAACGGTCGATAATGATGTTGTCTGTAAGACAATGGACATTTTCCACAAATGTGGTTTGGGACTTGTCTTTACCTGTGAAACGCCAAAGGAAGGAATTTTGCAATTTCTGGACATTTCGCTTTCTCTGCTACCCAATCACCTGTGCTGGACCTTTTCCCCTCGTTCCAAGAAAGGCATCCTAAACTACACGTCCTCTCACTCCAAAGTCGTTAAAAGGGGTATAGCTATGTCATGCCTTACAAGCGCCTTAAATAAGTCTTGTTATCATACCCTCCAATGTAGTTTTGAAGCACAAATTGAGAGGCTGACATCCTCGGGCTTTCCTATGCAGGTGCTGACTGAGGTAGTGGGAACTCTGGTCAAGAGAGTGAAGGGAGTTCAAAAACCTAAGCCCGCTTTTGACAAAAAAAGAATTGTGGTCGTCCCGTATATGCATAAAATTTCCCACAATCTTAAAAAGGTGGCTAGCCGTTACGGGGTCCCTTTAGTGATGTCAGCCCCCCAAAAAATGGCTCAAATTTGTCAAAAAGTTCATGCTAAGGTAAACAATTTTAAAACACATACGTGCCACAAGAACCACTCCCACTTTTATGTGCCCTGCTCCCTGAGTGTAGTATATAGTATCCCCCTTTCATGTGGTAAAAGCTACGTTGGACAGACCGGACGGTGTGTGAACGACCGGCTACGAGAGCACAATCTCTCTCTAAAGTCTACGGTGGGGGGCCATCTACCCCTTCACTGTAAATCGTGTAATTGTACGCCATCCTTAGCGGACACCAAGATAATAGGCAGGTACCGGGAAAAACACACCAGAGAGATTTTTGAAGCTTTCATTATTCTAAGCATGGGCGAGCGATGTGTCAGCTTTCCGTCTGTGTCATTAACAGAGGAGGAAATTGCCTTTTTAAAATCATTTTCGTGTGGGTAATTTTAAGAGTACCCCTCGAGCCCTCGGGCCTCTGGTCCCTCGTGCCTGTGTGGCCAACGCTCGAGCGGATTCCGCGTTCTGTACCACTTTCTTTTCTTCTTTCGTTAATACATGAGTTGTGAGTGTGCGCTTGTCTGTCGTCTACATGTTCCTCTTCTCTGTCCTTGTCCCTGTGTGCGCAACTGTCACTATGTTCAATAACTACCAACTCGCCCAACTGTCTACTCTACTTACCAGTACACTTTATTCCTCGTAAGAGCGTGGCACTGCTTTAATAGAATGCATCCCATATTAAACATTTTCTGAGCGCACCGTGATCCTACTTTGAGTCAGAAAAACCAAACCAACGACCGGGATACGTCTAATTTCGTCTATGGAAAATCGCTCTAGCCTTCATCTAAACTTACCTCTCATGCAACTATTCGCGACTCCAGCAAGACAGACGGCACCTAGCGGGAAAACACTGAACTAGCCGGAACAGGTCCTTTCGTGATTTTTTCTTGTCTCTTGTGGCTTTCGTGTTTACATGTAGTCGATGGTTTGCGCGATAGAACACTTGTCCCCATGACTCTGTCGTAACTGGAGTATCATGTTCCCAAGTTGCTCTGTATGCAACCTACGCAACCGCGTGAAGCAGATATTCCGCGCTTATCAACCTTCATCAGCATTGCCGGGTTAATCTACGGGTTAAGGGGGCCGCTGCCCAGGGCCCCGGGCTGCCCGGGGGTCCTGTGTCGGCCCCCAGAAACTTGAAGAACTGCTAGTCTCTCTCAGTTCAGAACAGCTAAAGAAGGAACAAAACTAAAAGGAACCTCTGGGCCCTGGCATTCTGGCATTGCCCCCCTTCCCCCCCCCCCCCCCAATCAATTAGTTTTTCTTCAACGGGGAAACAGCGATGCCATAAAGTTCTCTTCTCTAGACGAGCTGGCGTTTGTGAACTCGTTGTAAAATACTGTGCTAGAGCAACAAAAATGTAAGCGTTGTCTCTCACCTTCCTTATCGAAGAGAGCAAAGCTGTCGACACTGGCGGTCGCTTTGAAGTCTCTTCTAATTGAGGACAGGTGGAAGGAGGGACACGGAGTTCTCTATTGTACTGGGGCCCCTTCGACGCGTTTTACGGACGATGGTGGGTTGGAAGGCAAGCAAGTGTTGCCGAAGGCTATAGGAGCAACATACATGCTACACATAATTTTGTTTATTTTTGTCTTTTAGCGTAGTTCCATATGGAATGTTTCCCCCAAAGCGACAAGCCAAAAAAAGCAATATATATATATATATATATATCGGTGAACCTCCCGAAGCCATCCTTTCTAACCATTAACAGGCCTTTCAAAGAGCCGGCTCTTGAGATGTCTCCAAAAAGTTTTCGAGCGCGAGAGTTTGGCGCTCCTTTCAGTACACGAACAGGAGTGCCACCAAAGACCTCGAGCGTGCTCTTCGTGCACCGAGAATTTCTCGGAGCGCGAGTGACTTCTTCGCGCTATGTGACGTCACGTAAATGAACTAGATGGCTGCGCTGCTGGTGAGACCGTTGACGCCGTCGAGACGAAAGGCGTAACCGGACCGCTGCCCATTTTCAGTTCATTAGTGCTTAATCCAGACGGTAAAAACGATTTGATTTGAAAGCCAAGACAGCAATTAGCGTTCCAAAAAATGTCTGTTCGCGCATCTCGCCTGAAAAAGCAATTCATCTGTCAACGTTTCTGTCGATGTGCTATCGGCACGATAGCACATCGACAGAAACGTTGTCGAGATGAGGAGACATTCGGACCGCTCTGCCCCTTTTACAATGCTTAGCTAAATAAAGATACTTCGACTGGAAAGCCGAAATATCAGTCAGCGTCGAGGAAAAAGGTTTGCACGAGCGTCTTGCCTGTAAACGAATTGATGTATCGAACTAGAGTGCCGATAGCTCGGCGACAGAAAACTCCTGATGAAAAGACAGTCAGACGGTTGCCTTGCTTAGAATTCTTAGACCAGCCGCAGCGAATAAATATACTTAAATTAAAACGCCAAAACATCAGTTAGTGTTGCGGGAAAGGTTTCGTCATGCCTACCGCGTAAAAAAAG